CCAGCACCACAGTTTGGAAAACTGGCGGAATATTTCCTTGGGAAACAAATTCCCTTACCTGCCCTGACAGCAAACGACGAAAATCAACCGAAAATTGAAAGATACGTCGTGTTGAAAGTGGTAGGGCATCGAAGCGGTCAAGGCCGAAAAGGTCCGCACAACTATCGATATCGTCTAAGACTGAAAGGATACGGTCCTGAATCAGATCTGATGTGTCGTGCCGACGAAGTGCCGCAATGCCACGAAATGATTTCCGCATACCGATCAAAACATGATCTGGACATCGCGCCCGCCAAGAAATCGTCCGAAGTACCGCAGAAAAAAGCGAAACGAAAACGCGACGAAGGTAGGGATCCGAGTACGAACAAACGCGCAAAGCACAAAGCAAGGCCAGACACGTTGTGTCCCAAGCCAGCAAAATGCGTGAATAAAAAACGTACTCAGCGGAAAAGTAAACGAAGTCCGAAGGCAAACAAAAGATACATTTCCAAAGTATCTAAACGGTGAAAGGAATAGCACCCAAACAATAAGGTTGCTATCCAGCATTTGGTTGGGTCAAATGCTGGCGAGGAAATGTCAAGTTAACCGGTCTCAAGTGGAATTGAGGGTCGCAACTCGATGACACTAATCATGAGTCACGGAAACAGTCTTAAGACTGTCGAACACCGTATGCCTATCGTACTCAATAAGCAACACGATTGCTTACACCCAGCGGTATGGTTACGCGAACCAGAACCCGCACAAAGTACAAATTCTTGATACTTAACAAGAATAAGCTTTGACACATCATTGATTGACATCAATACCTGGTAGCTTGTACGAGCCTTGGAGATATTAAATCCGTACGGTGTTGCTTCCAACACGTGTGTAGTCCACACGGCACTGTCAGCTGTCTTCGGATAGTGAGGGAGGGATTTAATTTTTGAAAAGCTGTGTTGGCATCCATGATACGTCCATACCTGCTCCACTACAACTTAACATTCACACATGAATGTACGCCAAAACCCAACTTCAACAAGCTGAGCTTTCGGCGAAGAAAAAGGGGGGCTATGTGGAGGTCAGGATATTAAGATTCAGGAAGCACAAACACACGTACATAAAGAGTCAGATCCAAGGGATATGTGATAATAGATCACTGTTGGTCCCAAGGGGTCATGACCCTACAGATTCCCAACGGCTGCGAATAGTTGATGAATCTTTAGGAGGATGGGGAAATGAGTCCACGAAGGCTCACCCACACTCTCCGCACCACCCTAGCTTGACTGAGTTCGCTCGGTCACGCTTGGCATTCCTCGCCACATTACACCAAAGGAAATAGCCAACCTCCGGTGGCAGGACATAGCCACCACAACCCTGGACTCTCCACTCACCCAGAGTAGAGGGCATCCATATGGTGCCATTTCGATTCTCCCAAAATGACATAGACGAACACACGTTGTGACGTGGTATCAACTTGGAGGCAACCACATGCAGCAGCACCATTACAAAAGAAATAACCAAAGTGTTAACTCTGAGCTGAGCGTATCGGGAATGCACTGATGGTACACAACAAAAACCAGGAGCTCGTTTGTACTCTACAACACAAGTACATGTATGTCCAGTAGCAGACATGGTTACAGCAGTCTGGAGGTACATGCAGGGTTGCACACACCGCCGCAGCAACGAACTTCACATTCAAGTCAACACGCAGCTAACGACACAGCACGCACCTCGTATCTGCCTGCCCCAATTCTACTGTGCCTAAAGTCAGATCCTGAGTGCATGCCATCGTCCCTCCCTGTGAGCACCGTTGACGACAGCAGCACGCATCCCGTGCCATCTGAAGGCACTCTCCCTTGTTGCAGAAGTAAGTGCTGTCATCAACATGGGAGAAAAACCTATGCCCCGTTTCTCCTCTGAATGACTGACCCAACGTAGAGAAAGGTGGACTTCCGCGGCACAGACGTACCTGAAAGGACCAGATCTCCGAAATTCCTCTTGCCTGCAGCAGCCTCACGCTATCTTGCTTGTTGGACAGACCAGCACCTAAGTGCACCCACGTCTCCCTACTCTCAGACTTTCAGAGTTCAGAACTTCAGACTCCAAGCTGCTGCTCTCTGATTGACCAACTACGAGACCACTGCTTGTTTTTGTTCTTCCGTTCCTCACAACTAGTCTAAAACCGATACCTGCGAATCGCCGAAAATATCGATCCATCGATACTCGATATTCCGATACACCCAATCTCCAACCTGCTTTTCATACGGAAGCCAAGAAGCTATGTGTCACAAGTCACCCTTGGTCTGTGGCAAGGAGCTCAGATTCTTTGGAGAACTGTCTCCCCTCGACCAATGGCTGACAGGCATTATTGGGACATTCCTTTTTTGCGGAGCGATTGGGCTACATTATTAGCCTAGTTCTAGATAGTCTAGTCTAGACCATATGCTATGCACATAGGTGCTACTTCTGTACGTAGAGTAGTAGTACACACACATGTACACATAAGGACTGCTGTACACTATGTACATACAAAGGAGGGTTAGCCAGAACTAGAGTCAATGCGCAGACCGCAGACCTCCACGTTCACTGCGGAGTATATCGATGAGCGCATTGGCCATGAGGTTTGAGATGCAGGTCATCGCGGAGCGGTCAACTTCGTTGCTGCGTACGCCTCAACCGAGGTCTAAACCGAGGGCAGCAAAGGAGAGTGTGGATAACGTGCGGATTCCCTCCGAAGTGTGTAGATCTATGTGTATAACCTGATGGACGCCAACGTGCGGACGGGAGAGAGGCTGGATGGAGAGGACGGGGATATCATGGGATTGCACGGGTCTGTTGTGCTGAACGACAATGGCCGACAACTGCTGACCTTCGTAGCGGAATATGGCACACATACAACGGCGGTGTGTCGGGGAGGAGGACACCACGGCCGAGAGCTGTCATCCCCCAGCCGTCAAACCCAGTCAACGCGGACTCAGACCACAACATGGGGATAGCCATCGTCAACCTCGGTGGCAGGCCTGCCCACAAACGAGCAGTTCGGACCAAGCCGAATCAGAAGCAGTTCAACCGCAGGGAACTGCAGGTCGAAGCAACGCGATGCGCGGTGACTGAGCGGTTCCTCCTTAACCTCGGCCAACGGCTGGGCGAACGGGCGACCACCGGAGATGGCGACTGAGTTCGCCAATGCTCTCCTCGAAGCGGCGCGGGCGGTGCTACCCGACGAGCCGCGGAGACGACACACGCAAGAGCGGCGTGAGACCCCAGAGACACGTAGCTTTGGAGGAGGCCCTTACCAAGCGGCAGGGAGCGCGCCGAGCGACGAAGGGAAATTATACCACATCAACGTGGAGGGCCCTGAAAGCAGCGCGCAAGGGATTGGCTGCAGCAGTCGAAACGGGCATATATGCCCACATGGACAGATATGTGACGGAACTCCAAGTGATAAACAAGGATCGTGACATGAGTTGGCTTTACCAACACCTCAAAGAGATGGGTCGGTGGGAGACAAGCAGGAGGACAGCAGTTCGTTGCAGACGAGATTGGCGTACTGCTATGGAGTAAGAACGTGTTGGTATGTCCGTACTTGGGAGGAGAAGACACGCTTTAACTCTCTCTGATTAGGCACCCGCGGGAGCGAGGAAAGGAAGGGAAGAAGTGGCCCTCCCGAATTCGGGGAAGGGGGCCCACACATAGTAGCCTTTTTCAGGCATACGCATGCTCCTGTCTACGTACCCCCCCGTGCTGCTAGCAGATCTACCATGCTCGTATCCAGACACACGAACACCCTCCCCGGTTCGTCAAGCTATTGACAGACCATCAGTGGGGCATGGATACTCCAGATCTACTTAAGTTACTCATACAACAACGGGTGCAAGGGAAAAACTCGGCCATCCGGATCGAAAACCCTTGCCAACAAGCTCAAATTATAAAAGAAACCGTCGCTATCACGAAGGATTCCAACGGCCGCACTATCAGGGCAGGACCAAGGCAGGACAGATTGGACAGGCCACGCTGATTAGTCTACACACCCGAAGCAATTGGTGAAAAACCCTAAGCTCCCGCCGCGGGTGACGCCCCTGCCCAACGCTTCCTGCGTGACATACCATGGTCCGAGACGCGCCCAGTGCTAGAACAAAACAAAACAAACGCCACGAAAACGAGACCAGAACCCTACATCGACAGGTTCATCAGAGCCTTCCGGTGGTACTCCAACTTGCCCCTACCAAGGACCTTGGTCAGCATATCGGCGTGCTGCTCTTCTGTCGAGACATAATCTGCGGTGATCTTGCCCGCCTTGAAGAGCTCGCGGATGAAGTGGAACCGCACGTCGATATGCTTGCTCCTCGCCGAGCTGAAAGGGTTCTGCACCAACGCGAGAGCCCCCTCGTTGTCCTCAAGGACCCTGATCGTGGCACCGCTCGTCTCGGGCGCAATGAACGACAGAACACCACGCACGAACAACGCTTCCTTCACGCCCTCCCCGGCTGCAATATACTCTGCCTCCGTGGTCGACTGAGCCGTCACTGGCTGTGTCTTCGTGGATGCGCACACTACGGTCCCACCTACAGTCACGGCTAGCCCCGTCGTCGAACGCCTGTCAACGGTGCTGTCGGCGTAACTAGAATCGACGAACACGTCTAGGTCTAGCCCTGATCCGCGGACGTAGGTGATCCCGAGGTCCTTCGTCTCGTTGAGGTAGGACATGATCCGCACAAGCGCGTTCCACATCCTCTCGGTGGGTGAGTGGGCGATCTTCTGCAGCTTGTTCAAAGGCAGCGCGATGTCCGGCCTCATGAACAGCAACCACATCAGGCATCCGATCGTTTCCCTCACGGGCTTGTCCACCGAGGACTCGTCGTCTCTCTTCGGCCCTAGGTCATCGTCGACGACAGCGGGCGTGGGAGCAGTGGTCGTGACATTGAAGCGGTTGAGCATGCTCTCGATATAAGCCGTCTGGGACAGCTTGGTGGTACCATTCTCAAGGTCCACCTCAATGGCACACCCATCGTACCAGGTACAATCTCCTAGATCCTTCACAGGGAATCTCTTCTGGAGAGACGCTAGCAACTCTTCACGCTCCTCCTCGGTCGCGGACAACATGATGTCATCCACGTAGATCACGATGAGACCTACGACTTCTCCGTCAACCACCTTGCGGAAAATGCAGGGGTCCACCCTGCACTGCTCGTAGCCGTTTGAGATCAGGGCATCGGCAGCCTCAAACCCCCACTCGCGCCCACTCTGCTTGAGTCCATACAGAGCACGCTCGACTTTCACCGCCTTGCCAGTCCAAACACCACAACCGTCTGGAAGCCTCAGGTAGATTTCTTCCTTCAGCTTGGCGTGTGTGTACGCCTGCTTGATGTCCCAGTGGACAGGCCTCCTACCATTCTCGGTGGATACGGCCACCATGCTTTGATGGACACCGCGGAAGGGCATGCGGGTGATGAGTGATGAAAATCCACACCGGGAATCTGAGAAAAACCACGCGCAACCATACGTGCTTTGAAGTCGACAATCAGCCCCTTCTC